TTTTTTTTTTTCCCAGTCTATTTGTTCAATCAATATAACAATATTCACCAGCAAAATATTAAAACACATGAACAGATTAAAACAAACAAAACTTGACTTATGACTTAACAGCATCCAAAAGCATAACCTGGAATACAACTAAACAGTCTTAAAACTTCATCTGAAAAAACAGAAGTTGACATATTTATCATTTCTAGATGGATAAGGTAGGCAGTGTTGCCTAACTACTTCCAACTATATCTTGACAGACTACTTCCTCCCATTCCTCCTTTATCCCACACCATCAAGAAACCCCTCCCTTCTTAGCAGAGGACCAAATTTAGTGTGCATAAATATTTCATAACTTCATCTTGTCAAGAAATCAAACTGTACTACTTAAGGGCATTCTTCCAGGAGCTGCACATCCATACTCGAAGAATAAAACTGCATTCATCATACCCATTCTCCCCCTTCAAACTGAAAAGCCTGAAGGTGAAGCAACAGTGAAAATCTGGAGATCTTGTGTGGGTATCATCTAAGAATGTTATCTGCTGAATGCTAAACTCCATTAAGAAACGTAGAAACAACACAGTAAGGTTGGCATCTTCTGAAGAAAATACATCTCCAGCTTTTCAATCCTCTTCCACATCCTGGTCCTCCAGAAGAAATGGATTCTTCTGTGGCTTTCACAAAACCTCATGATGACTGAAACAACCAGCCTAGAAACAACCCGCTGCTACAGACAGAGAAGCCGACCATGAAATCAAAAGGTGACTGGAGACAGACATCTACAGGTGGTTTGATTTCCAACAGCACAAAACACATGCAGCTTCCACTGATCTGGAGAGGAATTCAGCACCTAAAGAAGAGACGAGGCCATTTCTGTGCAAGTGAACCCTGACCTGTCGATGAGTATCTGCAGGCTGTACCTGCAGTGGTGGGGAGGAAACAAGAGCTGCATCCTGATAAAACTGGCACAAGACGCTACTTTGTTAACAGAGGTAGTCTTAAACTTCCTGAGCACTGGATGACACACATTTGGATTTGACTCTGCATTTACTTTCTTCAGTATTGCATCAAGAAATTCTCTGACAGAGCTCCACTTGTTAGCTTTGCAAGAGAAGGACAGGGATGCAGAGCAACCATCCTGGGACAGCAGGTGCTCCAGTCATTTCCACAAACATTGCACATTCCCAACTTTCCTCCTTTAGGAGGCTATCCGCTGATTCATGGTTGCTTTCTCCTATTGCAAGACAACCTCTTTTAGACATAGCAAAAGTATTCTCTTCGTACCACCAAGACCATGGCGTCTGTGTTTTTTATAAAATATTGATTCGTCTGCCATCTGTAGTCCCAGAAGTTAAAAGGTGCGTCCGTACGAGTAGGTAAAAGCAGACCCAAGAGCCTCTGCCTGCACGCTGAACTGGCCAGACCTCAACCAGCTCCAACCCAAAGCCCTTAGCACAGCGTTATACCTGAGCCTGCCTCCTAGCAGGGTTTAGCGCGGGGTTGAACCATTACTCGCAGGACACCTACACCAACAGCTGCCTCATGTCTGGCCATCTCAGGGCACGGGCGAAAGAGCTCAGGTCTGTTTACATCCACTTGCCTGTGCATATGCTTCAAGAGTGGCACATGGGACAAAGCAGCTTTTGCACAAAATCCACAACATCTTCATCTCCCCGACAATTATGGGATATTCCCGTCACCAAGTCTGACACAAGACCAAAGAAAAAAATTACTTGCTTCAAAACCCATAACTTTCTCTACCCACACAGCTCTTTCAGGTCCCTTCCAATGAAGCAAGACAACAAGAGCGGGGAGATTGGGAAGTATAACACGCAGAGAGGGAAATTAGTAAGTCATCGATACATACATCCTGTTAAAGCCTGAATCACTGCCAGGAATCTCAAGTAAATTGACAGCCTTAAGTGCAGTGACTGGAGGCCATCTTAGCTGTTTCTAGTGACAGAAGATATTACCACGAGGAACTCCTTAACATACCAGCTTTGCCATTCTCACAGGACAATATACATTTGACTGTATGAAAAACAGCTGCAGTTAAAAAGGCAAAGAAGCTTTTCTTTAAGCTGCTCCCGAGTGCCAGCTCTGAGGAAGCACTACAAGGGATAGGAAAAGTACTGCATAATCAAGGGACAAAGTCAAAAAAGTCCTGGCTTGAATCATCACTGGATTATGGGAACCGCAGTTAAGTAATAAACCAATCCTGGTCTTGACCTGCACACCGGGGAGTAACAGAGGACGATGCCTGCGCTCATTTTTAACTTTTCAAATCAATACAAAACTTTGTAAGAGAACTGTTCTATTATGTCATGTAAGTACAAGGTGACTTCATAAGCTAATGAATTAAAAAGCCTGGAAATTTTTCCTGTTGTGAGTTATCTTCTGCATTCTCTTAGAGATGGGAGAGTTGGACAGTTTTCATGGAGCTACCACGCAATGCACATACAGACTATTATAAAGCAGCTGCCTGAGCCTTTATAAAAAATTCCCCGTATTTCCCCAGTTCTCTGTGCTGACACATTACTTTCTAAGACACGTATCTAGGAAAGGTAAAAAGCTGCTGTCATAGCTATTCTGCCAGACTCGTTTCTTATTTCCTGGAGTAAACAGAAAGCTGCAGACTTGGAAACTGCAGGTGAGCACCCAAGCGAACAGTAATAAAAAGTTATCTGGAGACTGTAAAGGCTTCTTACGTTACTCCTCTTTTTACAGGTCCGTGGCTTTTTTAGTGAAGTGTAACATTTGGGATTTAGCCCACTTAGCTATTTAATATCCCTTATTATTTGGCCTTGGTGTAGCATCGCTTCCTCACAATACTGGGTCTCCAGTACTGAAGACTGCCCTTCTACGTTTTAATTTGAGACTTCGAGGACCTTTCTCAGGGACAGGCAGCTGACAGCAAACAGGCTTCACCGAGGTCCCCTGGACACACACGGTAAGGGGGCGGGGGGGGGGGGGGTTACCCAGAAATTTTTAAGG